GGTATTAAGTTAATGAAGCAAATTTTTGATGATTCAGAAATTGTAAAAAAGATGTCTTGTGGAAGAACCAAATCATCAGCTATTGTCAATGAGGTTTTGTATCCTTTTTCTATTGAGTTGGTTCTCAATGATCTTAAAACTGGAATTCCATTTTCTCTCTCCACTGACGCATCAAACAAGGGAAATCGCAAAATGTATCCCATTGTTGCACAATATTTTACTTGTGAAGAAGGACTGGGTGTGAAAATTTTAGACTTTTATGAGGATTCTTTCGAAGATTCTACATCAATAAAAAGCAGCTGTGTCAAGTTCTTAGTGATAACGAATTGGAAATAAATAATGTTTCAGCTTACTCAGCAGATAATGCATCGGTCAATTATGGAGTGAACAAATCTGTTTACCAAAAATTATTGCTGGAAAATGACAATATTGTAGCTGCTCATTGCAATAATCACATTTTACACAACAGCGCAAAAAATGCTTTAAAGCAGTTGTCTTTTGATATTGAAAATGTAGTGCTGAAGGTTTTTGCCAAATTTTCGAATTCTGCGAAGAAACGAGAAGAGTTGAAATCATTTTTTGAGTTTTGCGAATCAGAATTCCATGAAGTTTTGCGCCATGTTCCAACATGTTGGTTAAGTTTGTTTAAAGCGGTCGAAAGACTTCTTTTAAACCGAATACCTCTAAAATCGTATTTTATTTCTCTTGGATCTGATCAGTGCCATAAGGTTAACTGGAACCTTATTTCGGATCAGGAAAATGAACTCGCAAAGGACGATGAACCAACAATTTCAGAATTGTATTTATATTTCACGCACTTCTTCATGTCAATAATGCAAGTCACCCTACTGAAGCTGGAAAGCAAGAAAATTCTTGCATGTGATCTTCACATTATCATGTGTAAGCTGCGTGATTCTTTGCAAAAAAAATACGATGAGCAGTTTTTTGGAATGAAAGTTTTATTTGCCGTACGTAAAAAACATTTGCCTGAGAATGCCATGCAAAAGTTCAAGAAAGAAGCCATCAACATGTATCAAAGAGCCATTGCGTACCTAGAAAAGTGGTATAATTTCACCGATTCAGTATATGAGATGTTAAGTTGTTTCAATCTAATTGATCGCAATAATTCTCCAACTTTAGAAGAAATGACGAACATCTGGTTATTATCACAATGGCGAGAAGAACTTCCATCCAACACTCTCTTCGATGAAATTTCTGCCTTAGAAGAAGTTTATGTTCATCTGCAGGGCGATTCATCCCTTGATAAGTGGACATACTTTTTCAAGAAAGAGCCAGCTCCGAGTTTACTGAAACTGTTCCAGTATTGTGCATCAATTCCGGTATCAAATGCAAATGTTGAACTAATTTTCAGCGTCATGGGAAATTTGTGGACTGATGAACGTAACCGACTGCTTGTACCATCAGTTCGAAGTGAACTTTGTATATTTTTAATATTTCTCAACGTTGTATTGAAATTAAAGAATTATTCCTTAAACACAAAGAATTGATCAAATTGCGCAGTCAAATAAAAAATACACATGACAGCAAAGTAAAATGTAATTTAATATTTTACATATTATTATAATATATTTGATGTTTTGAATTTTAAGTAAAGTTTTGAAGTGATTATTTTAATACGTGTAAAAATGTTTGTAAGAAAATATATAATTTAATTGTAATTTTTTTTAAATTTTTTTACTACTTAACCACCCCCACCCCCATCCCCACCCTGCTTGTCCGCTATTTTTTGGAAGCAGACCTGGCAACCCTGGGGGGGGGGAAGAGACATCTAGGTAACCAAATCTTGTAATTCTTCTATTAGTACACCTGTTAGGATTATTTATGCTTTTACCTCATGTGATAAACAGTTCTAATAGTATATTGAACTACCCGAGACTTTACTTGAAATCAGCAAAGAGTTTAATAACATATTTGCAAACAAGGGAACACAAGAAGTGAACAACAGTTACACCATAGTTGATCAATTTAGCACTCACACAAAGCCCCACTTCCTCCCCCCTCTTTTTCCTGTTTAAAACATTTTTTTCAAAGCTCCTAAAAGTATACCATTGTTCTTTAGCATAGCATCATGCTTAAGCACTCATTCTATCTCCCTCCTCCCTTCTCTTTTTCCTGTTTCTTTCACAGCTCTTAGCCTAGTTAACTTTTGCTCTTCTACTTGCGGTTACAGCTGGCATTTTGCAGTTTTGACACTTCTAGCTTATTTCTATGTAAAAGCTTATACTTTTCAAAACAGCTTATAATTCTATTTCTTATATAAAACATTGCAGAAACAATACACATTTAGAAACAATACAAATTCCATTTTGATTATATTGATTATGTATTTCCATCAAATTCTCCCTTTTTCTTTAATTTCTGGTATTGATTTCTAAATATTTTATAAGATTGTTTCATATTGTTGTTCAAATTCTTGAAATAATGCTTGACTTCTCTGTTCATTTTCTTCCTCCTCTTTTAAACACATCATATCCCCATCTTTTTATGGTAGGGGATTTTCTAATGGCATTCTCTTAGTTATTGCAGTTTCTATTAATCTTTGAGTTAGCCCCTTTACACATGGAATTATACAGCATCCTAATGCTATCCAAACTCCAAACATAGTTACAAATGAAGTAGCAAGAGATATTATCATACCTTTCCACTTTCTAAACCAGGATTCTAAGAGCCTTGTAAACGAGGTGTCCACTCCAGCATTTTCAGCTAATTCCTCTGATAAAGTGGTTAATCCAAGTAATGCTCTAGTAATGGTTCCATCAGGAGCAGTGTTATTAGGGATGTAGGTGCAGCATTCTTTGTCTCCTAGCATTACACCTACTCCACCCTTCTCTACCAGTAACATATCTAAAGCCATTCTATTTTCCCAAGCCATCCGGCTAGTAGCATCCAATTGTTCAGATACTCCTTTAATTGCATCTCTAGTATAGTTTATGAATCTCTGTTGATTGTAACAGATATAATTAATCCAATCCACATTTTTAATAATTGTTACCCACCAAAACAAAGTTGATTCAAAACCAGCTGCTATCTGGTTTCTCGCTTTGTATTCGTCTGGGACTCTTCTGGGGACTCCAATAGCATCTATATATATATATACTGTCATCAAATGAAGTGGCTAGAGCTGTTTTTATTGTAGTTGAATTTGCAGTTTTATTTATAAGTGGGTGTAGTAAGGCAATGAGTATAGGAGTCTTTAGCATGACCAGTGTACATGTGCCTGACCACTGGGATGGTAGCATGGGATGTAAAAGTCTCCTCCACAATACCACCAAATGTCTGTCCTAGGAACACGTATATTAGACAGATTTCTACAACTTCCAGACATGTCTTGAGACATGATAGTGATTTCACATTGCCACAGGTTTCTCAGCAGGGGTGAAATGCTCCCGGTTCGGATCGGATCGGGCGAATAGGTAACGATGGCGGCGGGCAGTTCGGAGAACCGGTAGCAAAAATCCCTTCCCCGCCCCAGCCTCCAGCTTTCTTACCTTCGCACGCCTGCCTTGCTTCACTTGCTGTAATCCCTGCAATCCACTGCATCAGCAAGCAACTGAATCTCCCTGCCTGCAATCAAGCTCATCGGTGAGCAGCTCTTTCTGCCTGCCTGCCTGCCTGCCTCCCTGTAAGTTTTTTTCCCCTTTGGGAGCTTTAAAAAAAATAGTTAATTGGGGGTTTTTTTAGTCTTCTTTTTTTAGACCTAGCTATTTAAAGTTTAGGAAGTTTTAAATTTAGCTGCATTTATATAAAAATAAAATAAAATAATATTTGTGCAGCTTTCTGAGATTTTGTGTGTTTCTGTAGTGTTTTAGTCTAACTACACAAACACACAAAATCTCACAAAACTGTATGTAGAATTTTGTGTGTGTAAAGTGTGAAAGTTGGTTTTTTGGACTTTTTGTGGCTGTGTCAGGTTCCTGCTTGTTGCAGGGGCCATTTTGCCCCTGCTTTTACATTGTGGGTGAGCCAGTTGTGTTGTGTTGTGTTGTGTGTGTGTAAAGTGTGAAAGTTGGTTTTTTGGTTTTTTTTGTGGTGGTGTGAGGTTCCTACGTGTTGCAGGGGCCATTTTGGGTCTAGCACAGCTGCTTTTACATTGTGGGTGAGCCAGTTGTGTTGTGTTGTGTTGTGTTGTGTGTGTGTAAAGTGTAAAAGTTGGTTTTTTGGACTTTTTGTGCCTGTGTGAGGTTCCTGCTTGTTGCAGGGGCCATTTTGGGTCTAGCACAGCTGCTTTTACATTGGGTGAGCTTGTTGTGTTGTGTTGTGTGTGTGTAAAGTGTGAAAGTTGTTTTTTTGGGCTTTTTTGCCTGTTTCCTGCTTCTTGTAGGGGCCATTTTGGATCTAGCACAGCTGCTTTTACATTGTGGGTGAGCCAGTTGTGTTGTGTTGTGTTTTGTAGGTTAAAAAGGGCAAAGAAGTGACATTGACTTGGCCACGCCCACCTGACCAACAAGCCACGCCCACCCAGTCACCTGACCAACAAGCCACACCCACTAATTAAGCCGCACCCACAGAACCAGTAGCGAAAATTTTTAGATTTCACCCCTGTTTCCCAGGTGTATTGAGTTTTTAGTTACAGTTCCATTTATGCAGTAAGGGAATCTAATATTTCCAGGTCCCTGGAAGATAGGAGTCTCTAAGAGACGACTACCTATTATCAAAGGGAACCTTTTTACTGCCATTAGACAATCTGCTGTCTCCCATGTAGTTGGATGTTGGAAGAGTGCTAGATAACATTCCCAAGTTATGTGTTCAAGGGGTGGAGGTATTATATCCCCTATTGGTCTCCCCTGTGTACATACATAACAATCAGATTGACCCAGACTTCTGACAGTGTAATTGACCCATGACAATCAAGTATTTGTATATCTTCTCCCAAGTCCAGCTTGGGTGGTGGAGTTGGTTTTACTCACTTATTACGTATTACTACTGGTTTTGGTTTTGGCTTTGGAGGTAGTGGAGGTGGCAATGGTGCTGGTGGGGCTAAAATTCCTGCCTTTTCAAGTCTTTTAATTCATTCGTGGGTTCTCAAACCACTTTGGTCCCATAACAGTTTTATACAGAGTAAGTTTCTTTTCTTTCTTTTAAAAAAATAATTTTTCAGGGTAATTTGGCATACTTGTTGACCTTGACATGTACCTAGTTCACTTATTTCTCCAATATCTTCATCAGGGACTCCCATATATATTGATCCGGCAGGGAATACTTCAGGTAATCTAGACCACCAACAATCTCTCACCACCTCCTTACAACATTCAAGATCTCTACTCATGGTCACATTTGTCATCAGTAGGTAATACCACGGTAGGTAAATCCACCTTGGGTGAATCCACCTCTTGTTCAATTCCATATATGCCATCACAGGGACCATAGTAGTAAACACATCCTACATGTACTGGTCCACAATCAGGGCAATGGTAACAACAGCAACAATAGGATACACCGTCACATATACAATAGCAAAAGCTACACATCTATTTGGCTAAAGGGTATAGATACAGGTCTAGGTCTAACACTCCCACAACAGAGTTTCCTATTTGCCTAAAAATAAAAGCAAAACCCTAATGCACACAAGATACTCCACAAAGCTCACCCCCAAGTTTCAAACATTAATTAGGCTTGTCTTTGTTGTTTTATTTACTCAGCTAAAGTCAATCTTGGGATGAAGGAATGGGGATGGTCCCTCTGTTCTTCTTCAGGATCACTCGTACAGGATTCGCAGAATTTGGCACTATTGTCCACTGGGAATCTGGTGCATTCACGAGTCCTTTGACTCTGGTGTAATGCATCCAGCCCTTCTCAGCCATTCGTACAGCAATCTCAGTTGTCAGCAACACCTGGAATGGCCCGTCCCAATTTGGCTGGAGCTTTTCATTCTTCCAAGTCTTCATCAGGACCCAATCTCATATTTTATAGTTGTGAACTGCAAACTCCAATGGTGGTGTTTGTGCTAACAATCCTTTTCTCCTGAGGGTAGAGAGAATAGAAGACTCCAGAATATAGTTCTTTAGAAATTTAGTCTCAAAGCTTGGAACTCCTTTCAGATTTTCCAACAGTGGGACTCCAAATAACATTTCATAAGGGGAAACATCCAAATCTTTTCTTGGTTGTTATTCTGATTCTTAAAAGAGCCAAGGGCAAGCATTTGGTCCATGGCAAATGGGTCTCCAACAAAAGTTTAGTTAAGGTTCTTTTTAGGTCTCGATTTTTATGTTCCACTTTCCCAAAACTAGGAGCATTCCAAGGAACATGACATTCCCACTTTATTCCCACTCCTTCCATTACTCCCTGAAGTACTCTGGAAGTAAAGTGAGTGCCTTGGTCACTATCTATCACATTAACCATCCCATAACTAGGAATAATTTGTTCTAATATTACTTTGGATAAAACTGATGCAGTAGCTTTGGGAGTAGGAAATGCTTCTATCCATCCTGTTAGATCAGTGGTTCTCAACCCTCCTAATCCCGCCACCCTTTAATACAATTCCTCATGTTGTGGTGACCCCCAACCAGGGGTGGGTTCTAATTTTTTTTACTACCGGTTCTGTGGGCATGGCTTATTTTGTGGGCATGGCTTGGAGGTCATGTGACTGGGTGGGCGTGGCTAGCTGGTCATGTGACCAGGTGGCCATGGCTATGTGTATAGGGACTACTCAGAGGGCTGAAAAAAGTCATTTCTGACAGGTCCTCGCACTTTTGACCGGTCCTCACACTTATGACCATCCTCACATTTATGCCTGTGCATAAATGTCACCATGTCACTCATTTCACAACTGCTTCTCTTCAAAATGGTATAAAATAGGGCAAAAAATGTAAAATGTGAGGACAGTCATAAATTCGAGGACTGGTCAAAAGTGCAAGGACCAGTCAAAAATAACTTTTTCAGCCCTCTGAGTAGTCCTGTGCACAAAAGGACTACCCAGAGGGCTGAAAAATGTGATTTCTGACAGGTCCTCGCACTTTTGACTGGTCTTCGCAGTTATGACTGGTCATCATTTATGCCCATTGTACCATTCTTAACAACCGTGTCACTCATTTCACAACTGCTTCTCTTCACCATGGTGACAAGATAGGGCAAAAACATAAATTGTGAGGACAGTCGTAAGTTCGAGGACTGGTCAAAAGTGTGAGAACCAGTCAAAAATAACTTTTTCAGCCCTCTGAGTAGTCCATATGCATAAAAGGATACAGCAATAGAGAGGGATGAAGGAAGGGAAGGGAAATTAGAGTAGAAGTGAGGGTAAGAGAGAGAGGAAGAGAGAAGGAGAAGGAGAAAGGAAGAGGAAGTAGGGAGAAGAAGAAGAGGGGGGGAAGAGAAAGTAAGAAGGAAAGAAAAGACAGAGGTGGTAGGTTTGAGGAGAAAGATTGCTGTACAATAAAAAAGTGAAAGGGAAGAAAGCCAACCTCAAACAAATATAAAGATATTAAGATAAAGAATGAATTGTTAAACTTTAAAGAATAAAAGAGAACAAATAGGAATAAATAGCAATAATTAGAAACACACATACAAACATACAACGTATTTTCTTTGAACAGAGTATTTGGCCGGTTCACAAATTGAAACAGTTGTAGGAGGTTAGCACCCACCCCTTTCCTAGAAGAATGAAATATTTTGGGAAATATTAAAAAGGCAGAATACTATATTTCCCTGGATGAGAAATGGAGAAGCATATTTTACAGACAAAGCAGCTCCCACCTTCCTGCCCCCCACCCTTTGTTAATGGGCCAGAGGCAGAAAGTCAATCCTTTATCAAAGGACATGTGCAACACAATATCAACAGAAACTAACACAATGGGCCCCATCTAGCAACCGAAACTCACCACATGTGACCTGGGAAGCATGTGACCTGGGAAGCACCTGTGACCATCAGCCAGCAAGGCTAGCTAAGACCCCCACCCCTTGGGAGTCTGACAACCAATCAGATTACTCTTTTGGGGCCCCAAGAAATGCAAAGCCAGAGAGAGCATAAAAACTTGAGGATTTACTGTATCTGCCCCTTTTCTGTTCAGGAACTCAAGCCATGTGATCCTGTCCACCATTAAACCATCTTTCCAAGCAGTCTCCATGTTTCCAGTGTCTTTTTCCCCACTTGGAGCAGAACCCAGAAGGATATTTCTTCCAACACAGTGTTTAGTCATTTCAATTAAATTTACAGTTTCTATATTTCCTTTTTACCATATTTATTCCTCATCTATTTTTTTAAAAAACCAATATTACCCTTCATCCTCATCTCTAATCTTAATCAAATTCAATTTTTCCCTTCTATTCTATATTATACCCCTTCGCATTGTCATCTATTTTTATATCCATCCTCACATTGGTTAATTATGTAATTATGTAATACAGTTGTTTAATACAAATTCAACATTTTAATATAAATCAATTAGTTATATAACTATCTTTTTTGTATATTAATCAATATGAACATGAATATTCCAATTATTTCCATGCAATCCAATTTCTTACAAATCAATTAATTATATTTACCAATAATAATAAACCAAATAATTTCCCCCATATATTCCTCCAAACCACAACTTAACCATTTCTGCTTTCAACACAATATACAATTAATAGTATTTCAATTATTACAATTCCCTAGTTAAATAGAGCTTTTTTTCTTTTGTGTTTTAAAATCTTGAACCTCCTCTTTTGCCCTAAATTTCCCATTGTTTGCAGTTTTGCACCTACCTTTTTTGGTGAGGAAAAAGAAAAAGAAAGCTCTCTGCCTCATTTTGTCCCGTTGCAGCAAAGACCCTCTTTACTTTCAATTTCACTTTTCAGCATAGCTAGGGGGAAAAAAATTTGCTCCAGGAATTTACCTCTTTGCAGCTAGCTCTTTGAAGCCCCGTGGCAAGAATTTAAAGTTTTTTTTCCCTCTACCCATCAGCTGGGACTACGGAGGCAGCAATAGATTGGGAGTGGGCGGGGTAAGCGAACGGCGACTGGGCGATCCAACAGAGGCAGAGGGTGAGTGAAGGCATGGGGGGGGCGAAAGAGGTCTTTGGTGACCCCTGTGAAATGGCCGTTCGACCCCCAAAGGGGTCGTGACCCCCAGGTTGATCACTGTGTATTAATTTATTCAAAATTATTTTTAGCCTTCCTGCTAAAATGCCCATATAAATTTTGTAGTCCGTATTCAGGAGAGACATCGGTCTATAATTTTTAATTAATTTTGGATCCTCTCCTTCTTTTTGGAGGAGTGTAATATACACCTCTCTCCATGATTCTGGAATTTTGGATTCTGTTAGGGCCTCATTATAAATTTCTAACAGCTTTGGTAATAAAATTTCCTCCAGATCTGAATTTTTATAGAATTCTCCTGGGAATCCATCTGGGCCTGGGGATTTATTCTTTTTGAGTTTAGATATTACCATCCTTAATTCTGTCATCATTATTTCTTTATCCTCTTCCCCGATCTTTGGGAGATTTTCTTTTGACAAGTATTGGACCACCTTTTCGTTGGGAATCTTCCGCATACAGAGTCGCGTAAAACTCTCGGGCAATCTCCAATTTATCTTCCTGTTTATTGCTAAGATGGCCTTCCAGGTCTTCCAATTGATGGATTATGCCTTTCTCTTTTTCTTTTTTTAATCTATAGGACAGCCACCTGCCCGGTTTATTTGCATTTTCATTAATAATATTGTTTGGTTCGTTTCATTTTATACACCAGTTCCTCCTGATCGATAATATTTAATTTGTGCCGTATAACCATCCAGTTTTCTTTAGCAGCCTTATTATCTGGTTTTTGTTGTAATTCCCTCTCAGCTTTCCCTAATTCTTCTATCAGAGCCTTCTGCCTCTCTCTTCTTTCCTTATTCCTATGTGCACTATACGATATTGCTAGTCCTCTTATGTACGCTTTCATTGTATCCCATATAATACCTCGAGATGTTGCTTCCTTTTCATTTACTTCAAAAAATAAATTTAATTCTTTTTTTTTTAATTGAAAAAGTTTTCAAATACAAAATTTCCCCCCCTTTTTTCCCCTCCCCCACCCCCTCCCTAACCCCCCCTCCCCACCCATCCCCCCCTGTGACTTCTTCATAACAAAAAACCTAATTCATAACAGATTACTTACCCCCTCCTTTAAATACTGACCTTTACTTACTAAAAATATTATTAATATTATAACATCCCCTTTATCAATACATTTCAAGAAAGGAATAATAATAATAAAAAAACATTATACTATAACATTGTATAGTAACTTCTAATTTAGCAAAATAGTATTATAACTCCCAATTTGGCAGTAATCTACCCTTTTTCTCCTCTCCCAAGCTTGTATCTATATATTATTACAA